TATGCCTTGCGGGGTTAAATGCAGTCCGAGCTGATCATGTCCCAGGCCCTCAGCGTTCGGGGCCACATCGTGAGTAGGGACTGTCGTTGGGAGTGTACTCTGGGCAGGGACCATATCCTGTTGCACAGCTGGGGGACAAACGAACATGGAAGGGCATAAAACATGGTGCTGTGGCTGTGTGCAAGCAGCTGGACTGTCTGCAGGAGGCATATATGGAAAAAAAATAAAGCTGTGTTCTCCTCATACGGGGGACAGTTGTATTTTTCAGCTACACTACCCGTGGAAGCAACAGGGACTAGGCTATACTGAGGTTATGGGTCTACACCTACCTATCTCTGCTATGTGCGGGGGGCAGCACCCAAGCTCATAACACCCGGCGCGGGCTGGAAAAAAACACTTACTTCCACAACCAGCAAGGAGGCCCAAGCCAACAATCTCCACTGGTGAGCCCGGAGTATATCCCCAGGAGCTCACAAGGGAAAGAAAGGACGATGTCGGGTACGAACCCACGACCTCTTGAGTGCCAGTTACGTGCTCAACCAGCTGAGCTAGCCCGCTTTTTTTTCCATCCTACAACAAATTTTCGAAGGGGGCGCAGGTGTACACTGATCCAGGCCTGCCACCCCATTTTTCCCTGGGTGTCTATTTCCCCTGTGTGCCGCACTGGAACTGTGCGGCTTGTGCACTGCATGTGCGGAATTGCCCGCACAGCATGCGTTAGCATGTATGATACATTCACAAATTTCCTCGCTTTGGAGCAACATTCGCGAAATCGTGACTCGAATGCATTTAAAACTGAAAACCGTGACTGCGCCCTAGTTTTCCCAAAAAAATCATTAACAAGAAAATAAAAGATTGGAGTGCTACACAAAAGATCAGTATGCGTACTATACCCCCTTCACAAGGATGGACTGCGTAAATCGAGACAATTAAGGCAGAAAGGCAGGCAGTCAGGTAGTCAGTCTCCGATTTTTTTTTTTTGGTCCCTCGGACTCCCTCCCTCCGAAGTTTCCCGTTTTTTTCTTTACCAAATTTTCTTTTCTGGATCCTTCCCTTACCTTTGGGTGTCTTGTCCGCCTTTTTATCTTGCCACAGGAAATATGGCGAATTTGTTCTTATCTGATCAATACCAAGCCCGCAAATTTGAACTTGGTCTTGATTTTATCGCGGGTAACAAGTCAACGTTCCTCATCTCGGCATTAAGGTTTGCAGAAAAAAAGAAAAAAAGGAAATTTCTGTTATAACAGTGAAAGTTTGAAAGGACCGCTCCAAGTGCACTTTGAAAGGACGCATGTATGCTATGTTGCATGCATGATTGCACGTACGTCTGTGGACGGGGTCCTTGACCAGATGGTTGGTTGCCTGCACGATCCGTACTGGTCTTGCAATCAAAGAGAATCAGGACCATATCTTTTATTTGTTTCTTCACATCGTATGTACGCACGTATGTCTGCTACTATGTACATATGCATGCATGAATGTATGCATGCATGCATAGTAGCATGTTGCATGCATGATAGCACGTACGTCTGTGGACGGGGTGCTTGACCAGATGGTTGGTTGCCTGCACGATCCGTACTTGTCTTGCAATCAAAGAGAATAGGGACCATATCTTTTATTTGTTTCTTCACATTGTATGTATGTACGTATGTCTGCTACTATGTACGCATGCATGCATGAATGTATGCATGCATGCATAGTAGCAGACATACATACGTCAATAGAAGTGAATGAGCACCATATCTTTGTTTGTTAGTTCACACTGTATGTACGTACGTATGTAGGTATGCTATTATGCGTGCACAGTATCCATACTAGCAGATATGCATAGGTCTATGCATGCATGCATGCATAAATAGATGTATGTACGAAATACTACGAATGTATGTGTGTGTGTGTGTGTGTGTGTGTGTGTGTGTGTGTGTGTGTGTGTGTGTGTGTGTGTGTGCATGCGAGTATGTTTTTGGATGGTTTTCCTGAAAAAAATGGCGTTGGGGTATTGTCATATCGTGTATAGCTACTTACCTAATGCTGCTATGACATTAACTATTGTTTCTATCCTATCATTGTATGTTAAAACAGGATTATGTGGAGGATTACGAGGTGATGGTTCCTTTTCAAGCTCTCCTGGCGCTTGGTTATGCGGTTCACGCTGTTTGTCCCGGCAAGGAGGCTGGGGCCATCTGCAGGACTGCAATTCACGACTTCGAGGGTGATCAGACGTACTCAGAGAAACCTGGACACAACTTCACGTTGAATGCGAGCTTCACTGAGGTGTGTAGTGCGACCGACCTGCCCTCCCAACTGAAACCACTCAACCTCAACCTCAGCGCTGCTAAGTAAACAAACCCCGCTTAATCCAAAAGCTGCTATGAACAAATTGGAATTTACTATAGTAATTTTTAGTATTTTTTACTAATTTACCATTTATCTGTAGAATTCTCAAACTGTATCCGGAAGAGAAGTGAAATGTAAATGGACGGGCGCAGCGTTAACTGTCACCGACTCACCGCCACTTCGGGGCCTATTCAATTTGGTGATCACGCGAAGTGGGGTGCGCATCCAACCTGTGCAGTCCTAACCTTAAAATCTCACCATATATAACAAACCCCTCTATAAAACCCTAACCTTTCAGCTTGCAGACCCTCCTAAGCCTGCAATCTTGTGCAAACCCCAACCCCTAGATCTGCAGAACCCCTAAAGCCTGCAAAATCCTAGTAAACCCATCCCCCCAAAATCCTAGTAACCCCTCCCCCCCTAAAGCCCCTCAGCTTCCAAATCCCTAGGTCTGTAAAAGCGCCTATGCCATCAGATCGAAACCCGTATGTCTGGAAGAACCCCTAAGCCTGCAGAATCATAGGACCCCTTCCTGCCCCCCTGCTCTCTCTCTCTCTCTCTCTCTCTCTCTCTCTCTCTCTCTCTCTCTCTCTCTCTCTCTCTC